TTATGTAAATTTTTTTTCTTTTTTTTTTTTTATTTTTTTTTTTTATTGATTTTATTTTTTATTGAATTAGAATTTAAAAGGCTCGGTTCAATTCTGGATGGCGCACAATCCTGGCAACAACCAAAGACGTCGGTGTGACGCATATATACATAGACCGACAATAAATAACGCAGACGGAACGAATGAACGGCCCGACTTCACCTGCTCGGCTCCTTGAAAGCAGATCCGACAGCCTGGAGTCGGGATGCAGCTCTCGCTGCTGCAACTGGAGCCCACCGTTTCCATTTTCCCCGCGCTCTGCCCGACGATGTCCTCGGCCGGTGTGTCCGTCCCTGGCCGCGCACCCTCCTCGCTCTCGATCTCTGTGATCGGATCACCCGCTGCCGGTGTTTGAGCTCCAGCGCCCGACTGCAGGTCATCCTCGCTGAGCTCGCCATCGCTCTCCAGCACCGTTTGGACCTGAAACTCTGCGGCGGCGACGGTAACGGTAGCGCCTCCCGGTGGCTCATCCACCGTCTGCACGTGCAACGGACCCGCCTCTGAGTGCACAGCCATGAATGACGGCACTGGGATCAGAATGAAATAGCAAAATTAGGGGGTTGAGTTCTTACGGGCCTCTGTCAGATTTTCCACGGCTCTTCTCCCCTCTGGGACGCATAGGTCTGGCCATTGATCTGCGTCTCAAACCGCATGCGTTCTCAGAAAGGCACTCGCTTCTGTTGAAAGTTGCAGATGTCCAGGCTGTGCGGCGCGTTGTGCTCGCTGTCTCGTTGGCTGAAAGCAGCTTTTCCCCGGAAGACACATTTCCATCCGGGCGCGGTGCTGGAACACCGAGCAGTGAAGGCACGAAACACGCATAACCTCACAGCCAACCTTCACAAAAGAATCAGATGTACCGGTTGAGTGTGTGAGTGTTGAGAGAGCGAGTAAAGATGAGCGACGAAGCTGTTTCTGACGGGAAAGTCGTTTGTGTAACTGGCTGCTCTGTGATGGACCCGCGAGCCACCCGCCCCGGAGCCACGCGCTCTTTGCGTTTATTGCCCTTTCCGAGATTTAGCCTACCATGGTAACCGTATACCGATTGGATAAAACGGTGGTCATTTGATAGCCTATTATCCCTAATATGAAATGAAATAAGTCACACCTGTGAAACAAATAAGTAGAAAGACTGAAAGTATCTTACGGGCGTATGATAGCCTACAGGTACTTTTTCATTTTCAAGTGGATTTTTAAACATTCAGTAGGCCATTCTATCAGTAAAGGAATTGTCATCAGTGCCATCTAAAGCCAAATAGCTTAAATATAGCCTATAAAATATATTTTGGCATTTGCCTTTAGAGCGGTGATAGAGTAGACAATTTAAAGTGATTTAGACATTAACATTTTATTATTATTATTATTACGAAAGCAATTGAATTCCAATGTAGTTCAATAATTTACTGGTACAAAAAGGCTAGCTATTGTTGATATGCTTGATAGCGTTTTAAAAGAAACAAACAATAAATAAATACATAATTAAAAAAAAGATAAGTAACAGTATTCTATTCCTTTGGCAAATTCAAGGTTATTAGATTTTATTGGGAATATACATTTTATTATATATATTCAGTATATATATTCAGTGTTGGGGAGTAACATGTAACGGAATTACATAATTTAATTAGCCTACAAAATAAATGTAGGCTAACTGTAATCTGTTACAGTTACTGAGAAAAATGTGTAATTATATTAAACTTATGAAAGCGTTAACGATTACAAAGGGGGTTACATCTGAATATTTTCACACACATAGGCTACAGATTTGATTGATTTCTTTCCCAAATTGCATTGACTGCTCTAAAATATGAGACACCAATGTTTCAGGAGTTCAGTACACAGAACAGGAGACATGTTTATTTAATACGGTTTTATTTCCTTTTTGGTTTTATGCATTTATGCTTTCATTTTTTAAGATTAGGCCTAACTTTTTTCTCCCAAAGCATTGTTAGATGCCTGTCTTTGCTATGCAAAGATAAGATTTGATTTTAAAAACAGTATCATATAGCTATTAAACTTGAAATTAAATTATTATAATCTTAATTCAAGTGACAAAGGATTTTGAAAGTCTGACAGTAATCAGTGTTGAGTCCTACTGTAAGGTTAACCCTGTCTGGTTTAAAAGTTTCAAAATGATTAAGATGAAAACATTCGTTAGACATTTAGAAAAGTAATCAATACATTACTTTATTAAAGTAATTGAAATAGTTACACTATTAGGCTACATTTTAAATAGGGTAGCTTGTAATCTGCAACCGATTACATTTTCAAAGTAACATTCCCAACACATCTTATTATATGTGTAACCCTCCCCAGACCTTACAAGTGATGGGGAAGATGTAAAGAAGGGCAACAACTACAGTGTGTTTCCTTGCAAGTACAACAAAATTTATTGAACACAAAAGGTAATTAGAAGTGGCAAAGAAACAAAAGGAACAAAACAAAAAAGTTGAACTCACTACAGACCATAGGGTTCCCCAATCATATAGAATGGCAATTCCTCTGCAAAAAATACACTCAATCACAGCACAAAATCAAATACCACTACAAGGGTCAAAACCCAACTCTCACTTGACTCAAACCACTACAAATTGCTCCCCGTCACCTTAACAGAGTCAACCATGTGTAAGAAAATGGGAACCCCACTGTTGTTTGTTGGTTCAAACAAAACAAAAACACAATAAATCCAAGTTACTTCATCACAATGTAACATTTAAAGTCATATCTTACGACCCAACATCAAGCCACCAATATTTTCAATAAAAGGAAACGGCAATCATGTATCATCTGTAAAAACAGAAAATACAATTCATGATTGCCCCTTTAATATATTGGAATTAAAAACACTTAACACAAAACATAACACACAACTTACAATAGAAAAGCTTAAAAACTAATTTCACATACTCCAATAATTCAATTAAAATCAATACCTGTGTTATTGAATAAATCTACTCAATTCTCCGAGGACCGGTCAGTATATCTCCAGTAAGCACACTATAAAAATAAACAAACAAACACACGTTAAAACTAAACACACTAACTATAACCATGAGAGTCACAACCCTTACCTCCACAATTTTGACTTCCATACTGTTCACAAGGCAACTAGTCGTTTCATCTATCACACAGCCTTGAATCATGCCACACAGCTTCTCCTGCTTAGCACATGGTACCACAAAGAGGAAGGCCAAAAAGTTTGATTTATTCTTTATAGCACTTGGACTCATGGGGTTTGTAGTCCAACACATTTGTAGTACTAAACAAGCCTAATATAGAGCCACTACCAATCCTACCTCCACCCAATTACATATGTTTTAGGAGAGTAGTCTGAATTGGGTTCTTTCTAGCATCTTGTGCCAGTTCACACACTGAACTCATTGGCCAGCCGCGAGTGTTTCCAAGGTAACGGGGTTTTCATCAGTTGGTTCGCTTTGCTGCGTTCCACCTTCTTGTGCGTGAACATCTACTCAATTCTCCGAGGACCGGTCAGTATATCTCCAGTAAGCACACTATAAAAATAAACAAACAAACACACGTTAAAACTAAACACACTAACTATAACCATGAGAGTCACAACCCTTACCTCCACAATTTTGACTTCCATACTGTTCACAAGGCAACTAGTCGTTTCATCTATCACACAGCCTTGAATCATGCCACACAGCTTCTCCTGCTTAGCACATGGTACCACAAAGAGGAAGGCCAAAAAGTTTGATTTATTCTTTATAGCACTTGGACTCATGGGGTTTGTAGTCCAACACATTTGTAGTACTAAACAAGCCTAATATAGAGCCACTACCAATCCTACCTCCACCCCATTACATATGTTTTATATTTTCCAAATGAAAGAAAAGGAGTGGTAGGAGAGTAGTCTGAATTGGGTTCTAGCATCTTGTGCCAGTTCACACACTGAACTCATTGGCCAGCCGCGAGTGTTTCCAAGGTAACGGAGTTCTCATCAGTTGGTTCGCTTTGCTGCGTTCCACCGTCTTGTGCGTGAACGCCGCATTCTGACCCATCTTTCCTGTGCGCTCGCTCACCTGTTCAGATGATGTCCTGTGAAGACGGAGATTGGCTCTTGTCTCAGACCTTTCCCGAGGGGATTAGATGACTGATCAACACTCAGCTAGTAACCTCCACAATGAACTTCCCTGTCCCCACCGCCCCGACTGAGATAACATCAATAGTCGCATCCTTATTTAGCCCCTCGAGTGAGACACACTTTCCGTTGGTGGTTGGAGCAAAAAAAAAACTTAACGAATAAAACGTTAATTATATAAAATACGTTTCTAGGTTTCTATGTTGTTTCTATGTTTTCCAATTTAATGGCATTATTCTGTTTAAAACAATTTGAACTGTTCCCAGTGAAACTGTCGAGGTGGGAATATGTAAATGAAGTCGCTGTGATTGGTCAAACTGTTGCGTTCAGGTGTTTGCGTAATTTCTGATCTAAGCATTTAATTTAATCTGTGCATAATTTACAATTTTACTTATTTAACCCTCATGATCTGTTGTGATTTTACTGTCTTTATTTTTGAATTTCCTGTTACTGTTACTAAATCTGTACCAAGATACTGTATAAGTGAAGAGTCATCTCTTACTTTTCATCAAACAGGCCTTCAAAAGTTTAATTTGAGCTTTCCACAGATCTCCATGGGTGCCTTTGTCACATTTACTGGTACAAATGCAGTGCTGTTGCCAGATATAACGTTAATCAACTGATGTGGTGTTTCTGTCCCACAGGCATATGTGCGCAGTGTTTTATGGTTCCTCTGAGGTGGTTATTACTGTCTGGTTCTCGGCTATTGGCTTTATGTTGTGTGTTCCTCTCAAGAGTATTAGGTAGGCCTTGGAACATGTGCATAACTTGCTTACCACAGGTAATAAAACTGTATAGATCCAACTCCTGGTTGGATTTGTCTTTACTTAGAGGTTAAAGCCACTGTTTCTTTTACTTTGTGATTTTGCTGTAAGCATGCCCTATAGACCTTAGTCAGGGTAGTAGCACCTTATATATTTTTTGACCTGAATGAAAATAAGGCTGCGAGGGATAGAGGTACAGTGCTTTCAGTTGTTTAACTCATGCCAATTCTTTATGTGATAAGACATATTTAAGGGGGGAAAAATTTTAAATAGACAAGCACTCCATAAAATAGTTTACAGTCCATAATACAGTACAAGTCGTTGTAAAGACTGTAAGTGTATCCCTCCCAGCTTTGGTTTCATCCTTTGTAAAATTCAGTATGGCGTCAACCCTGACTAAGGTCTATAGGTGAGAAAGGAAATAATGTGGTTTGCTGTGGTTTAAATGGATGTTAACTTGTTTAGTAGAACCTTAGTGACCTTAGTGAACCCATGTCAGAAGATGTTTACCATGTTTCCATAGTCTGTGCAACACATTAAGTCATTTTTGTTTTTGGATTTTGACAATGTAACAGCTATCTAAGCAACTGGAAAAGTGGAAATACAAGACATGAGAAAGATGAGAGATGCAGAGGTGTTTTGCAGAATGAAAAACAATAGAATCAGAATGTATGAGCTTTATTCAACAACTATGCTAGCACACACAAGGAGTTTGGCCAGTAATGGAAGACACAACAGCTAGAAATTGAATAATAAAATAAAATAAAATAAAAATGGGGGGGAAATTAAGTGACAACATGTACATAGAGACAAAGACACAAGATCAGTGCCATCTGAATAGATCTGTAAACGATAATGTAGGCTATAGATTACATGATAATGAATTTCAGCATCCATGCTTAAATTAAACAATCTTTTTCAAGCTGTTTTAAAGATGCACATTTTGGCTATAAAAGACTGGCTCTTGGATTTGACTGCTTTGCTTTCATACCACCGCTCACCAGCAGGAGGCATCATAACCACTCTAAACATTTTAATAAAGAATTTAGTGAAATAATTTCGAACAAAATAAATATTATATACCAACTATACAAATAATAATAATATAATTGT